CCCCAAAACCCCAAAACCCCAAAACCCCAAAAGTAATATTCTAACTAATTGATTTTTATAACATTAAATTAATATATCTCTATCTTTATTAATTAATGAGAAGAAGTACAAAGAATAATGGAGAAGATGGTAGTGAACCACTCAACCTAACAGATTCTAGTAATAAAGTTGACGAGTCAACTGAGAATAGCTTTCGTTTTTAACAGAAACCTGCTAATAAGCAGAATAAATAAAGCCTCAAAAGTTCAATGTTAACACCGAATAGCGATTAGAAAATCTAGATGCCCATTAGAGATGTCATTATGATGGGTCCACTAGATAAGTATCAGCATTATGGTAAGATAATCTGCTAAAGTGATGCTAATAATGTCTATTTATATAGATCGATTCCCTTGGAAATTCTTGATACATATTATACTGATCGTTGCTACAACACTCCAGGTATACTTTATGGTGTTATCTCAGGGAAATCACTTCAGATCTCATGCAATAGTCTTCTATCAAATGCTATATGATGATGACAATGACTATTAGTAGTTCTCTTACCCAAGGACAAAGCACTTCTTCAACTTACCTGATCTAGTAAAGTTCATTTAGGATTCTGTTAAGAAGTACTATGATCTATAAAATGGAGATATGCTTGATGCATATGTGTAGAAATCTAAGGAAGATTCTACTTGCTATTTCAAAGGCAAGAGTAATGAGAAATCTAGCATATGTCCAATTTAAATGGATGTGAGTTACGTTAAGAAAAATATAGACCCCTCATATTAACTGGAATATTTCTTGACCCCTAATAATATGGAATTATTCGACGATAAATATGTAGATGATGGCCAACTAAAAGCTTTCATTTAAACTATTTCATCATTCACCCTACATTACGAAATAAAAACAGATTATTCAAGGTATCAGGATTTTCAAATAAGTTGTTTCAATTGGTAGATCTAGTAAACTTTCAGTTTTGAGGATAGAAATATCATATCCTTAACTCTAGGAATGGATACAAAGGCTTGTGATCACTTCTCTGAGATTGCTAACAAACCTTTTATTGGTCTGAATACAGCTGTCGTCTTTATATTAGCACTCATATCAATTATTTTGCAGATCAAATATTATCTTAAAATAGGCAATGTTTACAATAAAATTAGATCACAGTATAAAACTTAGAATGATCTATTTGTTTCAGAGGTTGATAATTTTGTAAGCAATAATATATCTAATGCATTAATGTTTTTAGAAAAAAAGTAAAACTAAAATACAGAAGGAGAATGAAAGATATAAGAAACAGTTATCATATATCTATACGAACACAGAAGTAGATGAGGATGACATATCGATGGGATAGTTTGATCAGATGACCTAAAAGAATTTCAGGAATGTTAAATGGGAGAATCTCAGATTTTCTGAGAAAGCTAAAATATTCAATTATTGGTCAATCGTTATTGTAATTGGAAATTTTTTCCAAATTTTTGGATCTGTAATGTTTCTTGGAAGAGACATAATTCCTTTAATGACCTAGAATCTATTCGTGGGATTGGGAAACTTCTTATGCTGGGTAAGTATTACCAAGTATGTAGAACATGCTCCAGCATACTCATTCTTCTCAAGAACTATTTCTTACTCAGGGCCAGATATATGCAGAAATCTAATAAATGTAATTCCATTATTCATAGGCTTTGCAATGCTTGGCATGTCTCTATTTTGGGAAGGATATAGATTCAGGAATCCAAGTATCGCTTTCTTTAGTTTGTACTGTATTATGATGGGTGATGAAATATCGAATACATTTAATGAGGTCATGTAGATAAATACAATTGTTGGAGGAATTTTTGTATTTTTGTTTGTATTTATGTCTATGCAAGTTATGATGAACATTTTCCTCATTATCATTGGGGATTCTTACTCTGTAATTAAAGACAAGCATAAATATGATTGGCTTGAGGTAAGTAAAAGATGTAATTTGAGAACAATTATTATAGGAAGAAAATTTAATCAAAGAAGGTGAGGAAGGAGGAGAAGAGGAAGAGGTGTTGAGTAGTGATGAAGATTTTTAAAATAAAAAAGATAAGACACCTACTATAGAGAAAAGTAACTTTTCATGAATTTAAATCAATTTTTTATCAGGATAATTATCATTTTTGACATTGAAACACATTGTAAAAGAAGATCTCGATAAATGGAAAAAGAAAACTAGCTTGAAGTAAAATTAGCCATAGAACACCACTTAGTCAGAAATTCTTCAATTTACATAAACAGAGGATGTTGCATTTAATATTAATACAAAGGGAACTAGAAAGAATATTGTTTCAGAGGAATTTGATCTGTAAATTTCAGATGATAAAGATTACCAAGACAAAATTGATGATTTCTTCAATACTAATAGAGCAAATTAATAGACAGATACTAATCAAATCTAGGAAGGTAGCATGGCATCCATGGCAATGAAGATAGAAAAAGAATTTAGCCCTAGTTTTTATGAAAAATTAAATCCATAATTAAAGGAGACTTTAGGGAAAATAAGAAAACTTAAATAAAATATGGGTCAAACTGGGGATAAATGTAGATAAGCCATCAGAAAAGATCTTAAGAAGTTCACAGATAAAATTAGGAAAAGTGCTAATACTGGCGAGCTTGATATAGAGGTAGCTAGTAAGAGCATCAAAGATACAAAGATCTAGGTTTTAAAGGAGATTATCGAACTTAAGGAATAGATATAGGCATCAAGAGTAAAACTAGAAAAGGAAGAATCAATCAGTGATGAATAGAGTGATGATGAAAAAGAAGTTAAGGATAAACAAGAATGAATAATTCTTAAACTCTATCATCTTCAGAATTGAAATAATTTTTATTATTTGTGAAAGAAAAAACATTTAATTAGCTTTGATTCGGAAATCCCTATTATGCATGAAGGGGTTTTGGGGTTTTGGGGTTTTGGGG